CAGTGCTACAGCAGCACCAGCAGCTGACAGTGCTACAGCAGCACCAGCAGCTGACAGTGCTACAGCAGCAGCAGACAATGCTACAGGAGCAGCAGACGGTACTACAACAGCAGCAGCAGCAGCTGACGGTGGTACAGCAGCAGCAGCAGCTGACGGTGGTACAGCAGCAGCAGCAGCTGATGGTGGTACAGCAGCAGCAGCAGCAGCAGCTGATGGTGCTACAGCAGCAGCAGCAGCAGCAGCTGCCAGTGCTACAGCAGTAGCAGCAGCAGCAGCAGCAGCTGACGGTGGTACAGCAGCAGCAGCAGCTGACGGTGGTACAGCAGCAGCAGCAGCTGATGGTGGTACAGCAGCAGCTGATGGTGCTACAGCAGCAGCAGCAGCAGCAGCTGCCAGTGCTACAGCAGTAGCAGCAGCAGCATCAGCAGTTGACCATGGTACCACAGTATTTCGATAATATTTCTCACCCTTTTTACCACAGGGTTGGCACTAGAAGCTTTCTTGGGGCCCATTGTCACTTATTTTGCAGATAAAATCACCAAAAACACTGTAATAATACGAAATGTTACGACTGTATGCTTGGATGTTACCGCGGAGGCTGGCTTGTAAACAATGCCACCGGCGGAACATATGAGGCTGGCTCAGGCCTCACATAGACGTGTCTCGGACGAACAGCGTTGAGCGGGTTTTTTAGCGGTATGCGAGGCAAAATCTTAGCGATAAAATGTATCGGTATGCGGATTTAACGTTATGTAAGGCTAACGGTATGCGGGGGTCCACTGTATAATGTACCACATGGTACAATGTACAATATGGTACATTGTACCATATGGTACCACTCTACCATACGATACCATTGTACCATATACCATTGTATGACATGGCACCATTGTACCATATGGTACCATTGTACCATATGGCACAATGGTACCATATGGTTCAAAACCATAGAATTCTTCTTCAGCTCCACTTCCATCAGTCTTAGAGCTGTAAGTTGTGAAGAGGAGAGTAAGAATTCGCCCGAAGAGTGAGTGGGGAGTTAGAGCTTCCTTGCCGCCAGGCACAATGAACAAAGCTACTTTGCCGGCATTCCCACAATGCCATGCGGGCGTCCAGATTTTTTCTATGGTGTGCACACTGACCACCCAGACCCATTCTCTCAGATGTAGGCCTACTAGCCTTCTCCCGCTAAATTTGACGCCGCTAGAATTTTGGCGTAGATCTACGGTTTGGACCCTGAACATAAAGCCGTAGATCTACAGGACATACCCTGAAAAGGCTAAATATCCAACTTAATATATTGATCAATGATTCCCCCATTACAAGGCTCACTTAGGCCAAATTTGTAGGTCTTCACTTTGACTACAACTGTGAAATTTCTACGTCCAACGCAACCAAGGTCTCCAAAAGAGTAGGCATCCTCTCCAAGACACAGTACTAGCTACGCCAAATGACACTAACACTATCACTCTAATCTACTCTTACCTCATCTATGGTATTTGTGCCTAGGAATTTACTACGGCTAATCATCTTAAACCATTAATAACCCAAAATAAAGCTGCTATGCAGATGATCACTCATTCCTGTGCCAGACCCCCCCCCCCATCACTCTTCAAGTGTTTGAACTTACTTAATATACAAAATGTGCACTCATAATACTGTGCCTACTACAGTGGACCCCTGGTATTCGATATTAATCTGTTCCTGAGAGCTCATCGAATACCGAAAATATTGAAAAGCGAATCAATTTTCCCCATAAGAAATAATGGAAATCAAATTAATCCGTGCAAGACACCCAAAAGTATGAAAAAAACAAATTTTACCACATGAAATATTAAGTTTAATGGAATAGAATAATTACAATAACACCAATAACAATAGAATAATAATAGAATAATTGACACTTACCTTTAATGAAGATCTGGTGATGATTGATGGGATGGGAGGAGGGGAGAGTGTCGAAGCTGTTACTGTTTAGAAGGGGAATCCCCTTCCATTAGGACTTGAGGTAGCAAGTCCTTTTCCAGAGGTTACTTCCCTTCTTCTTTTAATGCCACTAGGACCAGCTTGAAAGCCACTGGACCTCTGTCGCACAACATATCTGTCCATAGAGCTCTGTACCTCCCGTTCCTTTAAGATTTGTCTAAAACGGGCCACAACATTGTCATTGTAATAGTCACCAACTTGGCTTGCAATAGCTGTGTTAGGGTGATTTTCATCCATAAAGGTTTGCAGTTCAACCCACTTTGCACACATTTCCTTAATTTTTGAAGTAGGCACAATGGATTCCACAACTGGCATAGGCTTCTCAGGGTTAGCCCCAAACCCTCAAAATCTTTCTTAATTTCCATACTAATTCTCACCCTTTTTACCACAGGGTTGGCACTAGAAGCTTTCTTGGGGCCCATGGTGACTTATTTTGCAGAAACAAGCACCAAAGACATTGACAATATGGAATGTACCGAATGTATCCTTAGATGCGCACACACTGCCTGGCTTGTAAACACTGGCACACACGGGGCAGTTCAGGCCACACGTGGACATGTCTCGTACGAATCGCATTGAATACTGGGTTTTCGATTGGATACAGTGGTGAAATTTTTGCATTAAAATGAATCGAATACTGGATTTATCGGATACCGATGCCATCGAATACTGGGGTCCACTGTATATATATACACAGCATTAACCTTAAACATTAACCCTAACCACAAACTTCTCCTTGATAGCTACAATACAACACTTAGGCACAACATAAGGCACAAAACTCTCTTCAACATCCCCCATGTCTGCCTTACCCTATGCAAAAACGCCATGTATTTAACCCGTAAACGGACCAAACGTATATATACGTTTTTTCAACATTTGAAAGTATGTAAAAAAAGTAGATCTTCTTTTTGTTTTTTTGTTATATTTGAAAATATGTAAAAAAAACGTAGATCTACTTTTGTAGCACTACACATGTGAACGTAGATCTGCTTGGACCGTTTACAGGTTAAAAGGACCCCAAGATTTGGAATTCACTGCCTGAAGCAGCAAAAGGTCCCCTGTCAGCCAATCAATTCACAGCTATAACTAAAAATCACCTTATTTCCCTAACTTAATTACATTAACACCATGCTACACCAAACAAAAGCAACTCATCTAACTACTTCCTGTTCCTTTACCATCTTTTATAAATGATCCATAGACTGAAATCATACAGCAAGTTTAAAACTACATAAGAAATCTTAGTTAACTCAAGATAACTGAATCAGTTTAAAATAATAATACATACTTAAATTTGTATTATTTTTTGCTACCTTTCCTTTTTTTTTTTGTAATAATGTATACTTAAAATTGTACCACTCAATACTTATGTCTAGCCTTTAGCAGTCTGAAAGCATTAGTATTAGTCTGCCTGAAATGCACATGCATGCTAGTGGCTTTCTTTGTGTTTAACGATATTTGATTATATGTAAACTACATTTCTAGACTGTTTTGTTTAGGAGCAGGCAAAGTTCACAGTGCATCATGGAAAACACAGCACATGTAAACAATTCAACCAGGACCTGTCTTACCACCATCAGCTTCCCTCCCAGCAAACTGGCTGTGGAACTGGCAGAAAGATGCCTTGTGTGTTCCAATTTCATTACAATTATATGATACTGATGTGGAATTTGGTAAAATAAACACTAAGTTGCTTCTTATCCTGGGATAACCTAATAGTCAAAGAATGTGACTTATTTCCACGTCTGCAGGACTATCATAGCGTGCAACTAACAAGACAATACTTTGTTAAGAAATATTACAATTTTGTGAAACTAACAGCAGAACTCAACCAAAAAACACACTATGTTGATTTAACCCAGGATAAGTCAAGAATGCAAACTATATGACTTATTGCCATGTTTTCAGGGGTATCCACACCTTGAAACAATTGTAATATCATAAGACTTCTTTGTACAAAATGTTAGAAGACAAAAAGCAATAAAAATAACAAGTAAAATGTTTATACCAATTTATATTGTTTATTTCAAGTAAGGCTAAGTGAGGCATGCATCTCCCCATGTTCCAACAGCTAATGTACATAGTGTTAGACAATGAAAAAAAAAATATCAATTAGAATTTTGGTGTCAATAAATTGCAAAACGTGTCCACTACTAAGGCATTTATGCCACTGTTGTGGGCAAGTATGTGATCATTTTTGCCAACTTTATCAGCATAAAATCAAATTATCATCCAATTTTTTTCTTGCTTTAAATAGAAAAACAGACTTAAAAAAAAAAAAAAAATTTGAATTTTTGACACAGGAAATTTTATTTCTTGGCACAGTACAGTTTAAGGATTAACAGTGTTAACTGCTTACCCTAACATTTTTTTACATTGTACATTCACACTTGAAAGCAACTACCATATATATAAAACAATCAAATAATGGAAGCCATAGTTAAAATATTACAAACATGAATTATAATGTTCATGTGAAGAAGAGAGAATAATATACATACAGTATTTAAATTAGAGGGACAAATTTAAATGAATCCTCTATTAAAAATAGATCTACAGTTAGCATGCTTATTTTGTTCTGTACTTTGAACAAAAATTCTTGCCCATCCCTCACTCCACACGTGGCAAATATATATACTCAAAAATATACTCTACTGTGATCAAAGAATTTATATTTTGATTATTCTGATTTACATTATTAATGTTAAGGCACAAAAGTCACTTATCTGTAGCTATTTTTAAACGTCATAACAAATGTAAATAGTGAAAAATGAATAGAGAAGCATGCTGTATGTCAGTGTATGACTGACTGCTTTCATCAGTACTTTATCAATTCTAACTCTGCAGTTATGAAAAAGAAGCTTCGGACAAAAGGCATATTACAAAAGAGAAAATGAAGCAGTCTTTGTAAAGATTGTAGTTACTGTAAAGGGAACTACTAGAGATGACCAAGGCTATCATCTATGTCCCAGTCCCCCATGCAATAGAGAGAAAACTAAAAGTTTACGTACCCAGGACCCATCAATGCTTTTGTATTCCTGAAACATCAAAACAGAAGAAGTTTTGATGGTTTTAATGAAAATAATATCACATAACAAAACAAATATAAAGGTAAGTGACAAGCGGCAAAAATCATGAATAATTTAGCACTAATGAAGGGAGAAGCAAATTATGCAATTTAATACATGTTAAAGTCTACCAACCAAGACCTAACAATGGTTTCCTTGGTGCAAGTGTCATTAACACTGATGAATGAACAATTATCCAAGCGTGTAACAAATACAAAGCAAAGACTGACAAAGAGCTGTGTATTTCAACCTCAATGAGTTAAGCTACTGAGCAGATTGAGGCTCAAATATACAGACCCTTTCCACTCTCTCTTTTATTTTCCATCCAAGTGGGATTTAACTGCTCACCACATAATGAATTCACTAATTTCACTCCTACTTAAGTGACGCGCTTAGTTTTCAAATGTCATGACTGAGATTACAAAAGAGCCAAACACATAAAATACTAACATACATACATACACACAAACACACACACACACACACACAAAACACACACACACACACACACACACACACACACACACACACACACACACACACACACTGTATGCCACGTGTGGAGGGTTCAATGCTCTGGCATCAATACTAATTGAAACTATTTTTTGAAGACGGAAACTTAATTCTTTTTATAATTTGCTTCAGCAGCAGTTGCAGAAGCAACCTTGAATTGGTGATATGCTTTTCTAATAGCATATTCTACATAAATAAATGTGATCCAAGCAGTTCCAGATCTAAAAGTTATCTCAAATTTAGACACCCACTAACTTGTATCAAGTGAAGTATAGAGAATAAAATAAAGGACATGGTAAAAAAAAAATATAGAAGAGGGGGAGAAGATGAGAGGAGGGAAGTAGGGAAGGTGGGATGAGGGGAATGAGGGAGAAAGGGGAGAGGAAGAGAAGAAATAAGAGGGGAGAGAGAAATAGAGAGGGAGGAAGAGAAGCTATGGCAATGAAAAGAAGGGGGATAAGGAGGGAAAGGGAAGAGGGTAAAGGAGAGAAAGAGAAACAAGATACCACCACCATTAATGAAGGTGACCAGAGTGCCTCTGAAGGATGAATAATGCAGGGTTTGTTTCTTAGCTGTTAGGTTTATTTTAGGAATATTGGTGGAGATGGATAAGACACATGGTGCACACAGCAATGATACTGAAACTTTTTCTAACAACCATCTCAGGTTTTCTTTGCACTTTAAAAGTTTAAAATTGGTACATTTTCTATGAACTTCCAACAAATTTTTAGCTAATATTTACCCCTGCAAAATTATTAACAGTTTCATGAAGAAAAATTTTGCCTCATAAACATAGAATTCATTTTGAGCTCATGTGCAAAAAGTGATAAATGCTTAATTGTGTTCCCTCTTTGTTTACATTATACAACAAATAGATTAAATCTACAATATTTCCACTTTCATTAATCAGGAGACATACTATACAATAGACCCTTGACTAACGCTGGAGTTAGGTCTCTAAATCCCTGCTGCATTCAAATTACCACTATTCAAAGTGAAGAACATATGGGAAAAATAGGGTTATATTCCATGGAGCTCTAAATAAATAATAAATAAATAAATAAATAAATAAATATATATATATATATATATATTATATATATTATAATTTTATATATATATATATATATATATATTAATATATATATATTATATATATATATAATATAATAAAAATACAGTTGGGCCCCGCATAGCGAACGCAATCGCATACGAACAAACCGCATAGCGAACCTTTGTTCGCTGAAATTTTGCCCGCCATGTTGACAAAAACCCGCTCAGCGAACTTCGTCCGAGACGCGCCAATGTGGGCCCTCAGCCAGCCTCTCATGTGCCGCCCGTCCCTTGTGTCCCATTGTTTACCAGCTACTCCCGGTAACATTCAAGCATACACTCGGAATATTTCGTATTATTACAGTGTTCCGGTGCTGTTTCTGGAAAATAAGTGACCATGGCCCAAGAAAGCTTCTAGTGCCAACCTGTGGTAAAATGGGTGAGAATTAGTATGGAAATTAAGAAAGATTTTGAAGGGTTGGGGCTAACCATGAAGAAGCCTATGCAGTTGGGAAAACATTGTGCCTACTTCAAAAATTAAGGAAATGTTTTGCACGTGGGTGAAACTGCAAACTTTATGGGTGAAATCACCCCGGGCACAGCTGTTGCAAGCCGTGATGGTGACTAAATTTCAATGACAATGTTATGGGCCCATTTAGGAAAGTCTTGAAGGAACGGGAGGGGTACAGAGCTCTATGGACGATTTGTTGTGCGACAGAGGTCCAGTGACTCTCAAGCTGGTCCTATGGCATTAAAGAAGAAGGGAAAGTAACCCAAGAAAAGGAATTGCTTCCTAAGTCCTAAAAGGGAAGGGGATTCCCTTTAAACAGTAAGAAGATTAATGCTCTCCCTCCTCCATCCATCAATCATCACCAGATCTTCATAAAAGTAAGTGTCATGTAATTGTGCATGCCTTTTCAGTTGGTGTACTAAAATTAACATTTTTTGTGGTAAAAAAAATTTTTTTTATACTTTTGGGTGTCTTGCACGGGTATTAAATTTATTTCCATTATTTCTTAGGGGAAATTAAATTGCATAGCGAACATTTCGCATAACGACCAGCCCTCTTAAGATTAAGTTCGCTATGGGTGGGTTTCCCCTGTAATATATATTATATATATATAATACATATATATTAATATATATATATATAATATAATAATATATATATATATATAATTTTATAATATATATATATATATACATACATACTAGAAAGGAAAAGGCCCCGCTTTAAGGCGTTTCTTTTATGGCATTCCGCTAATACGGTCATTTCAAATTATGGACCAAAACTCGCTATACGGCTCCCCCCACCTGGACGTTCTAATACGGTCACCGCACCCACCTCTTGTTTGTTTACATTCTTCAAGTGAGCTCAGTAAAGCATCTAAGGTCTCTCCATTTTGTCTGGAAACTCCAAAATTTCAAATGTTTTTAAAAGTTATTTCATATTTTATATATACTCTGATAATTATAATTATGTTATACCTTGTACTTAAATTAAACTTACTTACTGTGGCTGGCATGCAGCGGTAACATTAAATCATAAGAGTGTCTTATGTCTCCAGACGTCATTTAGTAATGATAATATAATCACGAGTTCTCATTTATATGTCGTAAATTACGTTTAATACACATTTTCATTAATCCATCTATGATATTTTTTCAAATTTATATAATAAAACACGATACATAAACATAAAATGATGTAAATACCCCTCAATAGAAAAATAAACATAAAATTGAGATGTCGTAGCCAGATAACTGGTACAAGTGATGCCAAGAATAACATTTTTCTCTATCTATCATAAGAGAAAATGTGTTACTGGGGGGGTAACTGTAAGAATTATTCCTTTGTATGTATGGTGAAGTTTATTCAGGTTTACACAAATACATGTTACTAGATTATCATAATAAAAACATAGTGTAGAGAACCTAGGAAAACCCAAAAAAAGTCAGAGTGACTTATTTCCAATTGCCTTCAATCAGAGCATCAGTGCTTCTCAACAATATGTTACATGAGAATGGGAGTGTTCTTCTTTATTTATTCTACCGTATAATGTAGAGACAACCTGTACACAGTGTTACCTTGTTCACAAACCAGACGTGTCACTTCGTTTACAAAACTTACCTTTGCCTGGTTAGTTTACATACTCTGCGACTGTACTCTCTAATTCACTAATTCTTTCTCTCTTCATTTATTCGTTTTTATCTCATTTACTTAACTCCTGACCCTGCATTAAGACTACACATATTTTAGGTTAAGTAATGAGTGAACTGTATATACATTTTTTCAGATCGGGATGCTTAAAATATCAGGGAATATATGTGTGGGTCAGGGTTGGCCTGGTGATGGTACCCGGATCTGACTTACCTTAAAATACCACACTTGATTTTTACAATATAGACTTACTCATTCACCCTTTATTTTAAGGTAAGTAATGGAAGTGACACCTGTATATACAGTTTATCGCTCTGGGTGGGATGCTTAAAATATCATAGAATTGTATGTGTGGGTGGGGTGGCCGGGATGGTAGCCTGGCTTGACATACCATTACATAAATACTACGTACTTTTAAATATACTTGGTCTCACCTAGATTAAGACTATTATATTTTATGGTAGTAATGAGTGCACTATGTGGTTGTATTGTACTTTTTATTGTTTTTTGATGCCTGGTTCTCTTGCTAAACTTAATATATGTTTGTGTAAACTTGTTATATAGTGTTTGTATGGTTTGTAAAGTGTGGAAAAAAAAATGGGTGTTTCACATTTACGGCGGTTTCTGCTTTACGGCTGTTAGCCTGGAAACATAACAGCCGTATAAGTGGGGCCTTCCTGTAAATATAATATAGGGGTGGTAGGAGAAAATTCTCAAACAGCTTCAGGGAGAATATTGAGTTTCCTGAAGCAAGTTTATTTCTTTTCTCTGAGGATCTGGGTCCCTTATAAACTGGTTCTAGAGAGTGCTTTCCTTTATATATATGTAATTTTATATATGAATTATATATTTATATATATTATATATATATACTATTTATATAATATTATTTATTATCACAACGGCGATTCCCACCAAGGCAGGGTGGGACCGAAAAAGAAATACTTTCACCATCATTCACTCCATCATGTCTTGCCAGAAGGGTGCTTTTACACTACAGTTTTTAAAACTTGAAACATTAACAACCCTCTTCAGTGTGCAGGCCACTGTACTTCCCTTCTCAAGGACTCAAGTTCCGGACCTGCCGGTTTTCCCTCTGAATCCTTCATAAATGTTACTTTGCTCACCTCCAACAGATAACGTCAAGTATTAAAAAACCATTTGTCTTCCATTCACTCTATCAAAACACGCCACGCTTGCCTGCTGGAAGTCCAAGCCCCTCGCAAACAAAACTACTTTCCAC